GAGCTTCAGAATGAAGTCAGGGAGTGAATCTGGAGCTTCTCCACACAAAGCATGCATTTCTTCTAGCAGTGAGTTTTCTTTACTTCTTTATTTGTCATATTTATATAGCCGCCCATCGCACACTAAGTGACTCTGGGCGGCATACAACAATTAAAAAGAATAAATACCTAAAAACAACTACAAATAAAAAACTATAACCGATTACACCAGTTAGTTACACCAGTTTCTCACTTACAGCCAGGAATATGTTGACATGATATTCATATTGCCTTAGAAAAATGAGACCCCAATCTGGCAGGGAGATTTGCCTTACAAAATGATAAAGGAATGCAACTCGCTTCATGGGTCCCAAAGATTGAGAGAGATCCCCTACTCCACAGCGTGTAACTGACGTCACTCTTGCTGAATGTCAAACGCTACACCTCTATTTTTCACCAACTGCCTCTCCAGTCAAAGCACATTACCGAAAGCTTCCATCCACTTACTTCACAACCACCTTTCCTGCACTAGATGCAACCCATTTCCGTGAAAACCAAACAGCGTACATTGTAGGCCATGTCTGAGGATACTTTATAATTGAAGGCCACTCAAAAGCTGCAGCTAGTTAAAAATGCAATGGTGTGGGTGTTTATTTAAAAGATTGATAGAGCTGCCCACCTTATGCAACATAACCCTGGGAGGCCCACAAACCATGAAAACTATAAAAACCATAAAACCATACAAGCCAATATGGAAATGCCTCCATATAGTTATGGTGGTACACCCATGTCACATCACTACTTTGCAAGTTGCATTGGCTTCCAGTAGGCTGTAATTCAAGATTTCGCCTATTAAGCCCTTCATGGTATAGAGCTAGGTTATTTCCAGGACACCTGTTTCCCATTTGTTCTGCTCATCCCACCAGATCCAGCAGACCCAGCATGTTCTGGATCTCTTCCATCAGGCAATGCCATCTGAGGAGACCCAGGAAACATGCCTTCCCTGTCACAGTGCCCGTCCTGTGGAACAGCATGTCCCCCAAAAGACGACCTGGAGGGTGCATTGGGCCAAAGCGTTGACATTGGGCACTGTAGTATATTGATTGATGTCCTTGGTTGCCATGCTGTTTGATTTGCTGTTGATATGTATTGTTTTTATGGCAGTTTTTAAAATTGTTTGGAAGCTGTTCAGAGTTGTTTTGTGAGTTGGGCGGCCATACAAGATGAATGAATGAATGAATGAATTTTGCCTCTTAAAGGATTTACATTGCTATTGTCCAGTCTTATGAGGCTTACTGGAAAATCACAGAAGCAATGCTGAAACAGAACAAGCCATATTCAGAACCGTGAGTAGACCTGAGGGTATTCTTTAAGATAAAGTGGGTGTGGTAGTGACGCTAAACTGGATTTGAAGCTGGAGAGAGAATTTGTGTTTCCCTACAGACATGTTCTCCCCAAAACTGATATTCTCAGATATTCTTTAGGCATAGACAAAGAAAATTAACCATAGTAAACTGGGACAGTATTCCCAAGAATAGTGAGAACAAGTGCTGCTGGAAAATTCATGGGTGGAAAATATATGGGATTAAATATTTAGTTCACATACACAGAATCATTAACTGGGTACAAATGCAAATCTGGCAGCCCAAATATGAGAGAGTAATAACTGGCAGGATAACCCTGTTAATTAGGATCAACTAAATAGGTTACCGAACAGACAACAAAGTTTGTGGGATTCCTTTAGCAGCAATGAAAACAGCAAAAACACTCTCTTTTGTCAAAGAAGTCCCAAGGTGGCCCATAGGGTCATTACAGATATGATGAACATGATTGCAGAATTAAAATCAAAATGTAATTCCTCTGACATTTAAGATTGCATTGCCCAGAATAGGATCACAGTCCCCAAAGAAGTGATGCAGAACCAACTTCAGGTTTCAAGGAGGCCTGCAGTCCTTTTCTGTAGGAGCATCAACTTACCAGTTGCCTTTGAAGTTGGTGACAATGCTCAGTAGCAGACGCTGGGCCAGATGCTATATGTCAATGTTTCTCAACGTTGTGAACTTTAAGATGGGTGGACTTCAACTCCCAGAGTTCCCCAGCCAGCCATGCTGGCTGGGGAACTCTGGGAGTTGAAGTCCATCTTAAAGTTCACAACGTTGAGAAATACGGCTATGGGTTATCGGGGGGAAAGCTAAGAATGGAAGATTGGTGCATGCATTCCTTGCCCTAATGTCGCTAGAGAAACCTGCAGCTGACATGGGAGTGGCTGGGAGAATGAGAAGGGTCCAAATCAAGGCAAGAGCAATTCGTGCGGGATTGTGGGGTGGGGGGAGAGGTTGCTTTGCTGGGTCTTTGGCAGCTGCTTAAGAAGCCTGGGTCCCGATGCCTGGTCTGAAATGGTCTGTGAGCCACAGAACCCTTGTGCATTATCTCAGTCCTGCAGGATGCTTTTCAGATACAGGTTTGCAGTAGGGATAAACCGGCAGCAGGCAATGCCCATCTCAAGTGCCTTCTAGTTGGAACATGAATCCCCTGCTTTAGCTTGGCTCTTATCTCTAGCTCATCAGCTGCTGCTCTTTCTTCATAGCACTGAGGTCTTCTGCCTCTGCCTGTCTCTCTCTGCTGCTCATCACTGATAATGCTCCTCATCCTAGCAGCACCACACTGGTGTCTTGATTAAGTCCTGCAACCAGCAAGACTGGCCAGTCTTAAATACTGACTCTCCCGGGTGCATTTTCTGGATCGGCCTCTTGGGGGGGTGGGGTCACAGCCCCAAAGCAATGAAAGATTTCTTCTTGCTGCTAGAAACATAGATCATGCCAAGGCCTCTCTGCTTTAACCATTGTTGAATCATAGTGGGCTGGGTTCATGCATTGTGCTGAGTTGTAAGCTGCGGTTTGCAAAGCATAATGCTCATGTTTGTAAGTTTGAAACCTTGTAAATAGAAAAGCACGATTTAAAATATTTGCAATAATTAAAACCAAGCCACAGTGCGGCCGAATGGGTCATGTAATCCCAGATCCCAGTCTGTATTCCAGGCAATCCAAAAAGGAGACGACTAGTCAGTTGCATAATGGATATTATGCAAAAGCAGCTTTCAATTCAGCTACGTGACAAAGATAACCAAAGAGTGCCTGGTCTGGTTCACACTTCACTTTAAGCCATGATTTGCCTATAGTTGTTTGAATAAGTGGCAGGGTTCACAGAACATGTTAAACATGCCATAAGCTGTGGTTTACAAGCCAGAACAACCAGGTTCCATTATGACGCCTGACTAGGAAAAAGCAAGGTCCACTCTGTCTTCCTATTCACTGAATTCAAGAAGATGTACTCCCAGATAACAATTTTGCTTTTTTAAAAAAGAACCAACCACAAAGGCCCCAGTCATAGACAGGATGCTGTGATAAAATACCACACAGACTGGCTGATGTCAGTAAGGGAGCAGTGACATGCCTGTTCATGTAGATCAGTGTTTCTCAACCTTAGCCACTTTAAGATGTGTGGACTTCATCTCCCAGAATCCCCCAGCCAGCATGGCTGGCTGGGAATTCTGGGAGA